ACTCCTCCTGAAGGTCGAGACAGCAGACTGGACTTCTACATAGAGTGCTTCCGCTGACGTGCACGGGCTGAAATTGTGGAAAAGCAGCATCACTTGCCCCATAACCTCAGCCGTGTGGAACACAATGCCATCCACAGCCTCAGAAACAACTCTGACATCATAATCAAAAAGGCTGACAAAGGAGGTGCTGTTGTCATCATGAATAGGTCGGAATATGAACAAGAGGCTGCTCGGCAGCTCTCCAACACCACTTTCTACAAGCCATTACCCTCTGATCCCACTGAGAGTTACCAAAAGAAACTACAGGTTTCAGAGTAACAGCCGAGTTAGTCTGTATTCGCAAAAAGAAAAGGAGTACTTGTGGCACCTTAGAGACTAACCAATTTATTTGAGCATAAGCTTTTGTGAGCTACAGCTCACTTCATCGGATACATACTGTGGAAAGTGTAGAAGATCTTTTTATATACACACAAAGCATGAAAAAATACCTCCTCCCACCCCACTCTCCTGCTGGTAATAGCTTATCTAAAGTGATCACTCTCCTTACAATGTGTATGATAATCAAGGAGAGTGGGGTGGGAGGAGGTATTTTTTCATGCTTTGTGTGTATATAAAAAGATCTTCTACACTTTCCACAGTATGCATCCGATGAAGTGAGCTGTAGCTCACGAAAGCTTATGCTCAAATAAATTGGTTAGTCTCTAAGGTGCCACAAGTACTCCTTTTCTTTTTGCAAAAGAAACTACAGCATTTGCTCAAGAAACTCCCTTAAAAAGCACAAGAACAAATCCGCACAGACACACCCCTGGAACCCCGACCTGGGATATTCTATCTACTACCCAAGATCCATAAACCTGGAAATCCTGGGCGCCCTATCATCTCAGCCATTGGCACCCTGACAGCAGGATTGTCTGGCTATGTAGACTCCTTCCTCAGGCCCTACGCTACCAGCACTCCCAGCTACCTTCGAGACACCACTGACTTCCTGAGGAAACTACAATCCATCGGTGATCTTCCTGATAACACCATCCTGGCCACTATGGATGTAGAAGCCCTCTACACCAACATTCCACACAAAGATGGACTACAAGTCGTCAAGAACACTATCCCCGATAATGTCACGGCTAACCTGGTGGCTGAACTTCGTGACTTTGTCCTTACCCATAATTATTTCACATTTGGGGACAATGTATACCTTCAAATCAGCGGCACTGCTATGGGTACCAACATTTTTATGGCTGACTTAGAACAACACTTCCTCAGCTCTCGTCCCCTAATGCCCCTACTCTACTTGCGCTATATTGATGACATCTTCATCATCTGGACCCATGGAAAAGAAGCCCTTGAGGAATTCCACCATGATTTCAACAATTTCCATCCCACCATCAACCTCAGCCTGGTCCAGTCCACACAAGAGATCCACTTCCTGGACACTACAGTGCTAATAAACGATGGTCAAATAAACACCATCCTATACTGGAAACCTACTGACCGCTATTCCTACCTACATGCCTCCAGCTTTCAGAAACCCAGACCACACCACACGATCCATTGTCTACAGCCAAGCTCTGTGATACAACCGCATTTGCTCCAACCCCTCAGACTTAGACAAACACCTACAAGATCTCTATCAAGCATTCTTACAACTACAATACCCACCTGCGGAAGTGAAGAAACAGATTGATAGAGCCAGAAGAGTTCCCAGAAGTCACCTACTACAGGACAGGCCCCACAAAGAAAATAACAGAACGCCACTAGCCGTCACCTTCAGCCCCCAACTAAAACCCCTCCAACACATTATTAAGGATCTACAACCTATCCTGAAGGATGACCCAACACTCTCACAAATCTTGGGAGACAGGCCAGTCCTTGCCTACAGACAGCCCCCCAACCTGAAGCAAATTCTCACCAGCAACCACATACCACACAACAGAACCACTAACCCAGGAACCTATCCTTGCAACAAAGCCCGTTGCCAACTGTGTCCACATATCTATTCAGGGGACACCATCACAGGGCCTAATCACATCAGCCACACTATCAGAGGCTCGTTCACCTGCACATCCACCAATGTGATATATGCCATCATGTGCCAGCAATACCCCTCTGCCATGTACATTGGTCAAGCTGGACAGTCTCTACGTAAAAGAATAAATGGACACAAATCAGATGTCAAGAATTATAACATTCATAAACCAGTTGGAGAACACGTCAATCTCTCTGGTCACATGATTACAGACATGAAAGTTGCGATATTACAATAAAAAAACTTCAAATCCAGACTCCAGCGAGAGACTGCTGAATTGGAATTAATTTGCAAATTGGATATAATTAACTTAGGCTTGAATAGAGACTGGGAGTGGCTAAGTCATTATGCAAGGTAACCTATTTCCCCTTGTTTTTTCCTACCCCCCCCACACGTTCTTGTTAAACCCTGGATTTGTGCTGGAAATGGCCCACCTTGATTATCACACACATTGTAAGGAGAGTGGTCACTTTAGATAAGCTATTACCAACAGGAGAGTGGGTTTGTGTGGGGGGGAGGGGAGAAAACCTGGATTTGTGCTGGAAATGCCCCAACTTGATTATCATACACATTGTAAGGAGAGTGATCACTTTAGATAAGCTATTACCAGCAGGAGAGTGGGGTGGGGGGAGGTATTTTTTCATGCTTTGTGTGTATAAAAAGATGTTCTACACTTTCCACAGTATGCATCCGATGAAGTGAGCTGTAGGTCACGAAAGCTTATGCTCAAATAAATTGGTTAGTCTCTAAGGTGCCACAAATACTCCTTTTCTTTTAACTAGTTAACAGTAGTTCCCCAAGTGGCCAGTATTGGAACCAATGCTATCTATGATGCTCTGTTCGTTATTCATTTCAAAGAAGAAACAGACAGCAAGTTAGTAAACTTTGCTAATGACATTTCATTGCTTCATTCATGGACAAGAGTGCCAACCTCCAGTGGGACTTACATACATTATGGGACAAACTGAGACAAGCACCTACAAAACTCATCCTTGTGTAGCTGAGCCAGCTAGAGACAATGAGACACAGAAAACTGAGTGAAGCCTGCGGATGTGTTAGCTTTTAGTTCTTAGCTTCCCCAGGGCATCACAGATTTGTTCCATGTAAATGGAGTTCATTAGCTCACATTTCAATTGCCTAGCTTGGAATTAGCAAACTTAGTCAAGGGCTGAAGTCTGATTCATTCTGAAATTCTGGTAACAAAAAAGAGTTAATCTCATGCTCATAAAAACTGTAGAGGAGACGGCTATTCTCTGCCTACTCACAGAACAGATACAAAACAGAAAGCAGCAGTACAAGGGTTTCATCAAACTGCCTTGTTAATGTGCCTTAACCTTTTCCGGAAGAGACCACCTACAGGTAAGACTCTATGGACCAGGTCCAGTGCCTACTGAAGTCAATAGAAAGCCTTCTCTTACCTTAAGTGGGTTTTGCATCAAGCACGGTGTCAATTTAATCCTTGGTATTTTTGCTGAGACTTCAGATAAAGGTGCTAATTGAATCACAGCATGATTTTTTTTTGAATGTGGACAACTTTGCACTGAGAATTACCGTTAGATCTCCAGACCCATTTCACATATTATAGGCCACTGAGCAGCCATCACCAACATTTGGTCACTAACAACCTGAGCCAGATTCTAACCTAAGGAGTTCTTGGGCCTAAATTCTCATACTTGAGAACAGACCCCATTTAGGTGTTTAAATAAAAGTTGTCTGATTTTTAGAAAGATGGAGCACCCAGAGCTCCTATTTGCTCCACCAGGTCTAGTTTGCTTACGTAAGGTGAACAGGATTTGGCCATTGGTGTTAATTAACAATGTGCACTTTTGTGAAATCAAGAGCTTTGGTGGTATAATTATCAGTGCTAGAGCTTGCCCTGGAGAAGCCCACTAGTCTCTGATACTAATCTTACATTGTTGCTCAAACAAATCATTTCAGTGTCAACATGTTGCCTGTATATGGTCCCAAAGGTGATTGTCATTTGGATTTTGCTTGTTTGGTCAGAGGGGGAATAGGCAAACCTTTTCCTCCTTGAGAGCTATTGATTTCATCAGCAATTTGGGCAATAATAAACCCCAATGGAAATATTTCACTGCCTCCCTTCCAAAATCAAGCAGTTGATAATGCACATTTTAGTAATAAATGCTAAGAACAATGCTAGTGTCCTTTAACTGTGTAACTGTCTGAAGAGTTCCAGCCCTGACATTTCCAGACTATGTGACTTGTAAAGATAGGTGTCTGAGAAGTGAATATGCAGTCTGTGTTGATAAGAGGAGCGGGTGAGAAGATCTGGATAATGTAGGGATATAAAGGAAACTGCTGCTGTCATGTAACCATTCCTCTTTCAGCAGCTCTGATTAGTAGAGACATTTGGTAAATTCCCAGTTACTTTGCACAAAGATGTCCTGAACTCCAGAGAACAAAAATAACAGATAATTCCTTGAGAAAAAAAGTCTTAGGGCTTAATTTGACCCTGGCATAATCAGATGCAATATCACTGACTTCAAAGGAGTTACAGAATGTTATACAGAATACTGTATAACAGGGCTGATTTGGCCCTTATACCATACTGTAGCTCTGCTTTGGCTAGAAACCTTTGCTTTCGAAGTAATTAACCATATGTCAACAGCCTACAGTACTGAACTGCAATTAAATAAATGAACAGGAGACAGAGCTATATTTTAACATATATCCCTGTAGAGGACTCCCAACCACAAATATTAGTCTTTTTTCTTTTTAAGATCAGCATTTAATGTTAGTGTTACTGAAGATCTGTGGATCAATACCAATTATTCTATATGTATTTCATGCTCCCCCAACTTCCTACAAGTATACAACCATGGTAATGTATAAGAATGGTGGATGCCTCAGGATGGATCTGTTTTTCCTTGCAAGAAATCTCACTGCTACAAATTTTTGAAGCACTCCACCCTAGCTAAAAGCCCAGTGAGAGAGACAGAGGAAAGTTGCTTACTGTTTCGGGGCTTCTCCTCATCCATGCCTTCATCTTCATTTTCTGGATCAATGTCTTCTGCTTGAGTTATCCAATCCAGGTACCCCTTCAAGTCTTCCTCCAGCTGTTGTTTCTCCCGCAACTTCTGAAAGTCACCCCGAGCCTTTGCCTTCTCTCTTTCTTTGGAAAACTCCCTGGCAAGGAGGAGGGAGGGACAGGATGTGGGTGGGAGAGATTGAAAAACAATGGGATTAGATTGGTTTGCACTGGAAATATGACATCCCCTACCTTGGACCCTCAGCTGCCTCTATTCATTCAAAGTCACATTAATAATTAAATGGAGTGGTCCTTGTCAGAAATATAGCTATAACAGCTGTAGTGACTAGTCTCTGTAAATATGTTGGGAAGATGCCAACTCTCAGCATTTGGTTAAGAATGTAACTGAAACTTACATGTGTTTACGTAAAATGTCATTCTTCTTAGGTTATAATGCTTTGCTATATGCATCTTTCCACCAGTCATTTGTGAATATCTGTTATTTTTACACTAGCTTAATCCGATGATCCAAATTAAATGTTCGGCAATAATCTGACATCTGGAGAGAGATGGCAGTGCTGATTTTTAGCCAAGTCTCAACCTGATGTCCAGAATGGAAATGAAATTGCACCTGAATGGTGCAACTGTGGGTATAATTAAACGCACCCACAGAGTTCACACATTTAATCAAGGAGGAAAAACTGCAACCACAGCACAGGATGCTGTATTTGAAAATATAGGCTGGTGTGTTTTGCCAGAGGTTTCCAGCATTAGAGACTATTACCTGCTTCTCCCTGACCAGAAGGAAGGATTTGCAAATCCAAAGTTTGGGGGACAACCATTAGGAATAATGGCTATAGCCAGAGAATGGAGTTGGGGTGAGCATTTGGCAGCTTGATGACAAAACATTATATGGACTATGTGCTTAAACACAAGACACAGGAACAAGAATTCCATGTTGCTAATCCGAGCATTTTGGTGGTTTATATGTGGGCTGTCCCCTACTTCCACTGTGGACAGAGAATCCTATTCTGAATCAGCTTTGTCTGGAGGTCTTAGATAGGCCTCTGGTTAGATACTGGATGACTTCTTTCACTAGAGGAAATCAGATGAACCTGTGGTATGACTGCATTCAAGAAAGGTGGCTCTTTTTTGGGTGTTCTCAACTTCATGATTTCTTTGCAGCTTCTGTTTTAACAATATTTGGGGAACCACTGATTTTCTTTTAAACTGAATGGAATCCAATTTTAATTGGATTAAACTTTCTCTTCCATAACTCTAAGCCAGTGAGATGCTTTTATTTTAAAAAGTGAGTTTAGTGGTGGTGAAATGTACTGGATTGACAGCCCTCAAGAATTCAGACCTTCATTTATCCGCAGAACAAGTAGCGCATGGGCTCAGACACTGCAAGCTTCCCATGCTACCCTGCCAATGTGGATCAACCTTGATTTACAGGAACTGAGCTAAATTCTGCACTGTTTTGTTCCATGTGTAGTCATTTACTAGAGTGAGTGTAAAATGCAACTATTCTGAGTGGCAGCATTTGACACCCACTTTGCATAGGATGTTAAAGACTAGATGAGATACAGGCAGTGGAGAATCAATCCGTCCATCTCTAGGCATAAGATGTGAGTTCATTCTCTCTGACCAGTTAATCTGTAGCCTCTTTGGTGATACTGCCAACAAAGGATGGGGTTTTCAAATGCACTTAGCTTTGGTCTAACTGCCCCCATTGAAGTCTATGGGAGCTGTATCACTGAAGTCAAAGGGAGCAGTTAGACCAAAGCTAAACACTTTTGAAAGTCCCAAACATGTCAATCAGTGCCAACTGTGGTGTTCTCAGGTAACTCAGATGGAGCTGGGAGAAGAAGTGCTTCCCTTTCACCGAGGGTGTGATCCAAAGTCCACTGAAATCAGTGGAAAGACTCCCACTCACTTCTGTGGGCTTTGGATCAGGCCCTTTGTGAACATGGGCAGCAAGAGAATAAACACAGGAAAGGGTCTTCATGAATCAGACAAATATGCAGAATTACAGTGTGTGACAGAGTATGCCTGCACAGTCCTCTTCTCTGATGACTCTTCTCTGTCATCTTGCTTGGTTTTTGCCCTGCTTCATGGGATTGTGATAATGAAGACTTGAAAGTGGAGAGTAGCTGTGCTGGGCCCTCAGTTCTGAATATGGCTTCACAGTAAGTCCTGGGATAGAGCTTTGCCATATGTTAGAAAAGTGAAAAAATCAAGTGTTCTTACCCTGAGAACCACAACTGTGTTGTTTGGAAATGTAAAAAAGATGGATGTTGAAAAGATCAATCAATAATAATAATGCTTTTCACTTCTATAGCATCTCTCCTCTGAGACTCTCAAAGAGCTTTACCAACATTAATGAATTTAATGCTCAGAAAAAACATGAGCTAGGGAAGCATTATTAACCCTATTTTATAAATGGGTGAATTGAGGAAAAGCAAGATTAAGATCAAACATTTCAAACCTGAGTGCCTAAAGCACCTAAATCAGTGGCCTGATTATCAGAGGTGCTGAGCATTTGACACCAATGGAAAAACACTCTTTTAGGTGTCTAAAGATGAATTTAAGGGGCTAGATCTGGGCACACAAGTGTAAAAATGTTGATCTTTGGCATAAAGACTTGGCTCATGTCACACAAAATTACATCCTGTGCAAAGGGCCAGCAAAAAGCCTATGCACTACTTAAATCTCACTTAAAACCTATTAGGAACCACTTAAGTCCCAGTTACATTGAGTGTTAGCAGGACTTCAGTGGTCCCTAACAGGGCTTAAGTAGTACATAGGCCTTGGGCTGGCCCACAAGTGTCAGAATAGAATCCAGTAATCCCAATTCTTAGTCTACTGACCTAAATGAACAATATTGGCACAGACTCTTCCTTCACAGAACGTATGAGGGCTCCCATTTCAGAAAACCTTCTAAAGAACAGGACTTAATCAAATGTGCTTAATTTCTAAGATGTAGTAACATTAAAACTTGATGCTTGAGGGCTACTTGTGTCAGGGAACTGCTGATGAAATTCAGAACAATTCATATTTAGGAAGCCGGTTAGAATCCAGGCTAATCCTGTTCTTAATGACCAACTGTTGTAACTGACTGAAAACTATTTAGTATCCTATGTGAAATGAGCTGGTGATCTCAGTTTAGTTCCCAGGAGGCACATCACCTACACCACCATCATATTTGACACTAATTGTTTTTATTGGAAGTCTCAGCGGGGAGGCCCAGGACCAAAGGAGCCTGTTCATTCAACTACCACCTCAAACCTACAGGTGGTTTCCTTAGAACAACATTGAAATAGGATGGGAGAGTGGCATGGGGGGAGGCTTACAGGAGTAATGACCAGCCTGTCTCTTTTCAGTGGATAGATAACATCAATTGAGGGCTGCAAATCTGGCAGTTTTTACCAGCATTCAATTTACTTCACTTTCCCTTTTTTCCAACAAAAAACTAAGGAGAAATCTTCTCTTGGACAACCTCAACAAATGGAGTGTGTCTGGGAAGTGCCTTTCAGTGTGTATGAGAATGGGCTGAGTCTTTTGTCCTGTATGATTTAGGGGAAAGCTTTTCTTCCCTGCTCTGATAATGGGATGCAGAATTATTGTTCTATACCCCATTTTTTAAGATCTCTGGTACTCAGAGCAGTGATGGAAAGCAAGCAAAACAGTGAACTTACAGTTGTTTAAAGATCTTCGTGATTACTTTAAATCCAGCATATGGATTTGAACCCTATTTACTCCGACAGGTACAGAATATCCTGTCAGCTTGCCATATTTTTTGAGTTAGTATTAGATATTGACTGAACCACAAACATGAATCTGAATACCACCATGGCTTATGGGTATGGAGGAAAGTAGAATCTGAATCTGACTAAGAATCTCACAGCTAACCCATATCTCTAGTGGACTGAAACAAACCCACAGATGTAAACACCCCCAAATTTGGGGGAACTGAAATCTTGAGTCAAATTTGCTGCTGTAATTATTATGTGAAATTATCCCCCTGAACTGGTATGGTATTGTCTTTAGAAATATATCCATATTCCTTAATCCTCAGTCAAGCCTTTAGCAGGACTATAGAGATGTTCATGTATATGTATAGTATTTACTTTAGTATATAACTAGGTATAGTATATTGCTTGGCTTGTCAACAATGACTATATGGAATGAGATATCTAGGAATGACTGATTATGACTCTGATTTTTAGACAGAGCACAATTCAACCTCCAATTTTGCAATTGCAAAAAAGTAAGTGCAATTAAGGCATCTTAGTAGGCACAATTAATTGCACCCTAATTTAACTGTGAGCACATTATTGGGAAGCAATTTTTTTAAATTTAGGCCTATATGAGCAAGAATGTAACATCTCCCCTTTGAATGATGAAGTATAAGAAATAATTTTCTTCCTAAAAGACATGCTGGGTGTAAAATGAGATAAACAGAATGGGTTACCTGGAATGTACAGATCACCAGGAATATTGTTTGGTAACATCTATGCAGAATGGATCAACTGAAACAGGGAGTGCACGAGCAATATCTGAGTCGAAGGGGCGAAGACATTTCAGGACTCAGTACAATTCAGAACTGCATTTGAAAGTTAGCTGTTTGAACATTGTGTTATTTTTTTCTAAAGATTTTTTGGAAACTTCAACTCCTCATTTCAGTTTGCTAAGAACGAGGAGCCTTTCTCAGGGATGTTAACAGTGAATGGCTCCCAGTGTGGTCCTCCAGGTTGACTGTGAAGAGTACAGCAGAAATGGTGCAGCTATCACAGTACAGTCAACACAGGCAAGTAGATTCAACTTAATGATGTAATTGCGGATGGACCTCACAGTTGATCCCAGCTGTCCCTAACAATTGCTTATGTGTAGTGTAGCTTCAGTGATTTCTGGCTGCAGTATCTTAGGTGCAGTCAGGGTGGGCACTGCCTACCCTTTCCCCACTAATCAGATAATATATATTCTTTAATTACTGCTATTGACTTTGCACCTTTACATGACAAAATCAATTTTGCTTGCCCACTTTCCTATGCCACCAGCCTTCACTGCTACTTTACATGGTTACCTGCTGATTTGAGTGACTAAGTGGGGCAATCTGACTCTGATATTGAGGAACTCGTGTTTGAAAACTGAACCCACAGTATCACTCTCCAGGTTTCCACACACAGACTATTGCCTCACTTTAATTTTTGGAGCCTCTTTTCGTCTCCATTTACTCACTTGAAGCTCCTGTCCTGGCAGCAGTTGTCGTACCTGCATACGTTTCCCTCAGTGGGGGTGATGCAGAAAGTAATGAATCCTCCTCTAAACCCATAATCTCTCTGTAGGACAGCAGAGAAGGTTTTTCTTGTCTGGGCCTACTACTGCCTTCCTGTTCTGGTTGTCTCTGAGACCATGGACAACATTTCTGTGATGCACCTAACTCCCACTCCTGCTAAGAGAGTGTCACCCTCGATTTGTCAGGGCCCCCTCACCTCAAGAACACTATCAAAATTAGATGTGAGAGTTTAGAGTGGTCAGTACAGCTGACAGGTACAGACATTGAGCAAACTTCTCACCAGGCTCAGCAGAGTAAGTACTGGGGCCAACATTTTTTAAAAAACGTCTGCCTAAAGTTAAGGCTTCTATGACTGTATTTACATACCTAAATAAAATAGCCTGATTTTAACAATCAGCGATGCTTAAATATGGAATTGGGAACCTAATCCTAGGCATTCATTTTTTGAAAGTCTTCTCAAGAATGTTTGTTGACTTGGATCTTCTAGTTATCTTGTTCACCAAAGCCAGCACAGTGTTTAACTCCTGGGTACATTAACAGCTGGTTTTATGTGAGGCGACTGCTTACTTGGCCTCAGCAATGATGCTTTGTAGTACAGGTTAAAATGAAGAATTAAGGAACAACTGCATCTCTTGGGGACGTTTTAACCCTCCCTACCAGATACCCTCCCCCATCTGACTTTCACGATTACCCTTATAAAACATCACAAGGAAATGACCACTCTCTGCATCATGCCTAACCCTGTAATGTGTACAGCAAAGATGTGCCCATTAAAGAAAAACATGTTAGTCCGTTCAAGGGGAAAATAATCCCCCCAATCAGCCTATGTTTCAAGAATATTAAACAAGAGAATCTCTCAGTTGAGAAGGAATAGTCTGGAAAGACTCCCATTTTACAAATGTTTAGGGATTTGCCGTATATGCTGCTAGTCATCTTTCACTTCCACTGATTTTTCCAGGATTTTACCAACAATCCCTTCTTGGTGTGGTAAGTGATGTGCTTGTACTTATTCAGACAAATTCAGGACTTGTAGTTTCATGGCACCTGCTAAAGGTTATTTTAGGGAGAAGAGTATTTTAAAGGCAACATGTTGGCTTTTTTCATAAAGGGATTTACTCAAAGATTTCCCCCATTTCATGTGGGCCATCTGATGTCAGGTTTTGGTATTTACCCAACAAAGCTAGGGGCTTCTACTAAACGTTTCTGAGACTGACCCACCACTGCCCCATAATATCCATAACCAAAGAGAAGGAACAGAGATATAAATGAAAAATATAAACAATAATAAAACATTTTCCTGGTTCTGCTTACCCGCTAAGTACACCGAGAACCAAGTTAAGTACAAAAAATGACCCTATGATGATTAGTGTAACAAAATAGATCCAGGGCCAGTCCCTTCCTATGGCATCATTGACCTGGAAGAGTGGAATGATAATTAGTGAGACAGGCTCAGTTTCTGAGCACTGCAAGACTCCAGCCAAAGGGATCCCAAGTCACCAGCACCAGGGCTTTCAAAGTTTTCATTACTGCAGTATATGATTGAGACCAAGTTGTCTTCTCTCCAGTCTAGTTGGAGCTGGATATTTTGGTTGGACTGAGGTTGAATTTCCTCATTAGAGAGTAACATTTTGTTGTCACAGTTATTTTGGCTGAAAAACTTTGAAGTTATTTATTTCAAAACCAATGTAAAAACTTCCTTGGATTCAGACTTTTATTTTGGATGGAGGTGAGTCAGGAATGAAGGAAGGGATCCTGGTGACTGGAAAGAACCCTGATTATGGAGTCTTGCCCTGCAGCATCGGAAAAAGGACATCAAAAACTGGCAGCTTACCCGCTCAACACACCAAGAACCAGATTTAGAACGAAAAAGGATCCAAAGATGACCAGACTGACAAAATACACCCATGGTAACTCATAGCCCATAGCGTCCTGCATCTGGAAAGACGAAGGAAAGTTAGAAGACAGAGAGAGAAAGCAGAACTGATTAGGCGAAGGAACAGATGGAAAGGTTTGTAAACAGAGCCTCTGGTTATTCACACATAAATGTACCAAATGTTTCTTCTTTACGATGTCATCACTTCTCTTTCTTCCCCTTTGATTCCTCTGTTCTCTACCTGTTTCCACATAGGTATGACCTTCTGTGGTCACCTTTATAGAATCAGCTTTTGCCAACACATACCACACATTGTGATCTCAGATAAGAAGTAATTTCTCATTCTAAGTAGAGTGAGAACTGTTGTACCTCAGATAGTAGTAAGTGGTAACTGTTGGCAAATGCTGACTTTTTAATGGCAACTTCCTGGTTATTCTCACACTGTTTACCATAGTCATGGCAGTCTTTGTGTCCTTTAGGCCTTGTCTATACTACAGTGGCACAGCTGTAGCACTGAGGCTCAGATGCTTCACACATCAATGGAAAGGGTTTTCCATCAATGTACCTAATCCATCTCTCCAAGAGGCGGTAGCTAGGTTGATGGAAGAATTCTTCCATTGACCTAGCTGCATCTACATTGGGGGTTAGGTTGACATAACTGCAGTGCTCAGAGTGTGAAATTTTCACAGACCTAGCTACATCATTCTGGGCTATCTAATTTTTTAGTGTAGACCAGGCCTGAGAAGAAAGCCCTGCCAATGCCCACCATTTTCTGATGCTGTAAAGCGCTTTCTAAACTTCCTTCTGTCTATAGAGGCCATCCATGCAACTTAGTGATTCCTGCACACGTCAGTCGGAGACCCTGCAACTGAATGGCATGAGTGCATTTCCAGCTTTGACATGAATGCAGGTGACTTCAAATAGAGCAGCCTGTTTTAAGTATAATGTCATCTGAGCACAGAACCTGCACTATATGAAGAGCAGCCTGCATATCAATTCAGGTACATACAAATACTATGTTCAAGGGCTCACCCTTATCTTAAAAGTTTTGTTAGAAATTCATATTTTGGGATGTTCAAGTGAAGACATCTCATAGTTTGATGCATTAATCTAGCCTTCCCATTTCATAAACACTTATCTCCAAGGCAGAGATGGCACCATCAAAGAAATAGACTGTAGGCAAAATTTTCAAAAGTACCAAAGTGTTTTATCTGAGAGTCTAGGTTCCATATTCAAATGTGCCTACGTCATTTAGGAGCCTAAGTCCCACTGACCATGCTTTTGAAAATGTTATGCTGTATGGTATAGAAACTGCTCCTCCTATGGCAACTTAAGCATTTGTTTCCTTCAGATCATAAAATTCTTCAGCTCATGGGCATTCACACATTACCAACTTAGAAAAGACAACTAAGCCACATAACTACTCAGGAAAAGAATTCAAATCTTCAATAGGCCGAGGTAGGAAAGTAACACTTGTTGAGTGAGTTCTTTATAGAAAAAAAGTACCTCATCCATATCCCTCTCATTGTACAGTCTTTAAAGTCCCAAATTCATAACTTTCCAACTGTAATTTGATGACTTTCTTTGGCAATAGTCCACAGTCAATAGGGAAATCTATGTCTCTATGCAGGGATCCCTAAACTGCAGCATAACAGGAAAGAACTCATTAAAAATGAACTCAAAATCTGTCTCAGTGAAACTCTCTCTTCCCAAGAGGATTTATAGGTTTTGTGCCTGGAAAAGAGCTCTTGAACTCTTCTCCTCCCTTCACAAGTGCAGGGCTTCCTCTTCCTACCTTCTCTAAGTTTTCTCTTGAATACATGTGTAGAATTGTTCCCTGTTATTACATTAGTTTATAAATAATAGAAATAATGTCTTCTATTTACCTAGTATCTTTCATCCCAAAGGATTGGAAGGATTATGCAATAAAACAAACGATATAGACTTCCCTTCTCCCTGCACTGAAATACAGTCACTTCTGTAGTGAAACACAGCAACTATTTCAAGAGCACAGCAGCACTACCCAGCAGTTCAGGACAGGAAGAATAAGATATCCATTTGAAACCACAGAGGGAAATTTGGGCTGAACGTTATTGCCCAACCTGGAATTAGGCCAGAACATCCGAGTTAACACCCTACTTATATGAAGAATGGCATGGGATTTTTAATTACGATAAATCATTTGGAAAAATGCCATAAAATTTACCAGCATAGGCACAAAAATGACTTGACAGCACTTAATCATGGTCGATGATAATGAAAAAAACTAACAGTACGTTACTTACCCATCAAAATGTTTTTACTCAGCCTAGAACACTGGTTGAGGAGAATTTTGCAAAGCTGATTTAAGTGTATGCTAACTGCTATGGGCCAGATTCACTGGTGCATTCTTGGCCTTTGTACTGTTTTGGCATGGAGGAGATGTCAGCTCCAACCCCATCCTAGTGTAGGGAATGGAATGGCATGGCCAGAGCATGTTGTACTCCTAACATTCCTAACTAGTGTATGTCCCTTTGGTACTGTTGACCATGGGAGTCAGCACAGAATGACCCTGAGAATCAGGGAGCCACACATTGGCACTGTAGAACATCTGCGATTCTGATACTAAGTGATCGGGACCTCAATTTTTCATCTCCTTTACAATGTACAGTCTTATGTAGAATGAAAAAGCTGAGTGAAAGCAGCATTAATTTTATAATAATTCATTGGGTGTACGGAAATCACTGGTATTTGGTAAGGAGCTGATCATTATTTACTATGTTTCTTCCTGGGCTTTATCATAGAGCATCTTGCTAAATTATGAGTACCCTCAAGTCTCATTGGCTTCAAGTGGAGGGGAAAGTTTTCCAAACACTGTAGGATTGGGTTGTAAGGGACAGGCAAAAGAAGAAAGGAGGTGTTCAGTGACAATACAATAGTTTCTGTATTGCAGAAGTTTGCTAAGACTTGGTGCAATCGTTTAAAATGCTAAAAAGACAGGTTCACCTACTTTACCTGCCCATGAAGAATGTCTTCCGGGTTTGGGGGAGGGAAGAAGGGATAGGGTAGCGATTATGGACTGTTTGACAGACTGTGGAAAGAAAAATACATACACTTGCCCAAAACAACAGCACCAATGTACTATCACTCAGGAAGGCCTTATATCCTCAGCTAAGATTGCATGTCACCATGTATCTGGGAATTCTTCCTGTAAAGTGGAGCTGTCTTGAAAGTCTGGGATAGACTGTTCTCAGCTGAACAATGTTACTGTACTTGTATCAAAAAGCATGTTGAATCTGTGCCCGGTCCAAAATCTTTCTTGGCTATTTTTCAAAGCTTGGTGAACATTCAGACATTCATCTCAAACATACCCCTTGACGGCAGTTGGAGGCTGTCACTGCAGAACTTACTGGACTGGTACAGTTGGCTTTTGCTAATTATCCTGCTGAAGTGGAGAAGCTGCACAAGGTCACAGCAGGACTTGAAAGAGATTTACTGTCTATATGCCATTAAGTTTGGAGACTGAGACTCAGGATGGTTTACGTGGCTGCTGTCCAGTAAGAATAGGCATAGGCAATGCTAAAGGTTACATTTCAAGTTTCTGTTTTACAGCTGTCTGGGCCTTCTGGTTGCAGGGTAAATTTTCCCTTATCTTTCTCCAGGTAAACATTTATTATCAACCAGGAGCCTTAACAGGAAAGGCGGATCATCTACTAACTTTACAGTTTTGCAATGGGACTATTATACTATGTAGGCTAAGTGATTATGTAGTCTGATAGAGGGCATAGTGACTGCAAGCTTGCATGCGAAAGATTGCATGTGATAGTATTTCCACCTGACCTCATAACTAACAGCAGGTGAGACCCTACATATGATAGTTTGCAGAAATCATTCTGTTTCCCATGTCAAAATGCCTACCCTTTCTCAGCTGTCACATCCTCAGATGCATATATTTTACTACTCTCAGGAATCATAATAAGGTTAGTACATTATTGTACATTAGCTTTGATGTATCATTTGTTAAAAAAGATGGTCTTATGGGTAAGGTACAGAATTGGGGTAAGGAAACACAGAATCTATTCCCAGCTCTGCTGCATGCTCACTGGGTCACCTTGGGAAAGTCACTTCATCTCACCATTGCTTCCCAATCAGCAAAACAGGCTACTAACCTAACTCAAAGAGGTACTAAGAGATTAAATCAATGTTTGTAAAGAGCTATGGCAGTGCAAAGCACTACAGTGGAGTCGCATCTTACACGGGGGTTAGGTTCTAAAGTCAGCGCATACGGCGAAAATCGCGTATAGTCAAAATTACTCTTCAAAATCCCTTAAATCACCCATAAGTATAGTATACTGTATATGGTTTTGTGTATACAACCCTGTACAGTAATATGTATAATGTATACAGTAATGTACAGTATATAATAAAGAGTACATATGCAAAATATAATTTTACAGTACTGTATTTTTAATTACAGGGGGTAATTACAGGAGGGTCATCAGGGCTTGATGTTGATCCAGGAGACAGAGAGTTTGGGTGATGGAGAGCGAGTCGTAGACAAAGTGGTTGGCTCTGGTTCAATTCGAGAAGTTGATTGCGTAGGCTCATCTGCTGCTGGTTGTTTTCCTTGAAAAACATGGTGATCAGCAACTGTCACTGTTGTCTCTTGAGCTGCTCAAACATTTCTTGTTATGGTGTCAAATTGTTCGTAATACTATGTGTGATTTTGAGGCTTCGTTCCATAGAGGGATCATATTCAGAAATTAAATCATTCAAGTGTTTCACTGCTTGGAACACTTCAGCAAATTTATGAAGATTCCAACTTGCTGGCTCTTCCTGTTCATTGTCATCACCTTCGTCTTCTATAGACGATTTTATCAGTTCCTCTAACTCTTCGTTAGTCAATGTTTCTCTATGGCTCTCAATTAATTCTTCAGTTTCTTCCTCAAGGATGTCGACTAAGCCATCACCACCCACTTGCCTGGCCACCTGAACAATGAGTTTCACTTCTTTGTCAATGGTTGGGAAACCCTTAAAATCATTCACACATTCTTTCCATAGATTTTGCCAACATGCATTGACT